GAGTCTGTCACCAAAGGAGCGTGTGAGGTCTGCGCTGTTGGCTGATCCTTCCAGAGGCCCCCACCGTTGGTCACTTGCACTGGTCTCCTAGCCTCATACTGTTTCTCGTTGACGTCTTCCATTTCAGCCATTACCCTGTCAAATGCCAGGCTTAAGTAAAACATGTTTGCTCTTCACTCCCTTCGTCTCAGCGTCTGCTCTCCTAAAGTGTTCTTCCGCACTCTAATCTCTCATTCTCTTTTCTGCAAAATACTGTTTTCCAGCCATGAAAGTTTCTGGCCCTCTTTCAGACTTTCAATTACCTACTGTTGATCCTACAGGATGCCTTGGGTTGATTTCTAGGGCAACCAGAAGTAGTCACAAGCCTTTTTATGTGTCATCACTATCCTAGATTGAGACTACTGTGAGGTGGTAGGTGAAGGCATTGTCCGGTTGTCAGGGAGACAAGACTAGAAAACTGAAAAGCCTGGCTGCTTCCTACTCTGTACTGAGCGTGCCATTTTGTTTCATTTAACAGGCGCTTACTTGATTTAAAATGAGAGCTTATCTTGGGAAGGACTTGGGAATAATCGAATCTGTCTTAATATGCAAAATGAATGATGTCTGTCTTAATAACATGGTACTGAGATCTCGTAAGGAGCCTGCAAGTAAGGAGCTGGAGCAGCTAAGGGAGCTAGAGAAGCTTAGCGGGACCCTGAAAACCTGCTGCATACCACATAGCTTTTCCTTAGGGTTTTTTCGTCCCCACTGTACGAGGCACAGGTGATGCTTAGCAATGTAACAGGTCTCTGTGCCACCAAGAAGCCACTTCAGTTTAGGCAACATCGGGCACGGTGGACCTGGCGGTCAAGAATGTTGAAACGTACCTCTAGTTTACCTGTTTCTCCAAGCTTCATGAGTTCCCTTTTTAAAACATTGCAAAAAGATAATTAGCTTTATTGTTGACTGGGAACAATAGAAGGGCAGACAGGCTTCAATTATCTATGCACACGAGGTCATTTTAAGGACTATTACCTTGTCGGAAGCACTCATTTTGTACTTTGCCTCTGACTGTTGGACTCTAGGAAATAGTGGTTGCAAGTTGGGAGGCCCCCAGGCTGAATTCAGCCTATGTAAATGTTTTGTTTGGCCTATACAGTTAAAAGAAATTCTTTACAAGTAACGTTTAAAAATTATACTTAAAAAAAAATCTAGATTTCTATCTTCTTTTTTTAAGTCTTAATTATGGCGTCACTGGGCTTACAGTGGCACAAGGCAGCGAAGGCTCTCACCGTTTCCTTTAAAAGCGTTATGTGCTCAATTCAAATACCCCCCGCCATTCACAGAACCTGCAGCACCTGGGCCTACGGGCACTTCCGTGTGTGCTTGTTGGTTTGGAGGAAGCTAGAGTTGGCTACGTGGTGGTCAGCGACCCGCCTGACATGGTAACTTTTAAACGGAGACCTCAGGAAATCACTTGGAGTGATCGCGACCTCCATGCCTCAGTTTCCGTTTCTGTAAAATGGGGCCGACAACACTCGGCCGTGGGAAAGACCCGGGTTCAGGACTTCCATCCACGGCTAACGGCCCGGGAGGTCGCCGGCCCCAGCACGGCCCTGGGGCCCTGGAGCGCCCCGCGTCGGGCCTCGCTCTCCACGCCTCCCGGCCGCGGGCCCGCGCGCTCCGCAGAGGTCGGCCCCGGGGCATCGAGAGGCGTGGCCGGCCCGCGCGGACCCCGGCGGCGGCCATGGCCTCGCTGGTCGAGTACAAGGGACTCAGGGCCGGCTACCACTGCGGCTACTGCGACTCAGAGGAAGGCAAAGTGTCCCACGGTGAGTGTTCCCATCGCCGGTGCCAGCGCGTCCGCCTCGCGTCCAGCCTCCGTACCGCCCGCCGCGCCCCGGGCCAGCCCTTTGCCGGGGAGCCCGCAGGCTCGGTGCCTCCACTCCCGCTTTCCTTTCCGACTCGTTTCTTCCTTTCACGCTCTGTCTGTCCGCCTCTCCCTCTCCGGAGATGGCGGTCCTTCTCCCAGAAGGAACGGAAATAGCGGAAGGCTGCCCTGGGCCAAGATGGCGCGGGCGGCGTCAGCGCTGAGGGAACGCAGCGAAGCCCGACCTGCGGGTGCCGGCGCAGCTTCGCGAGCGCCTCCGGGGCTCCGGGCGGCGCGGTGCATTGTGGGGTGGCGGCGGCGGCGGTCTTCGGCTGGGCTGCGTCGCGTTTGGAGGGTCGGGGCCATGGCTTCCTGGGCCGCTCTTTCGTCCAGCATCGTGGAGTATTTCGAGGGCGAGGACTTTTACCGCTGTGGCTATTGCAAGAACGAGTCGGGAAGTCGCTCCAATGGTGAGCGGGCGGGCGGGCAGGGGAGGGCGCCGCGGCCTGGGGGGGTTCCGCGACTGGCGGGCGTCCTCCGGGGTCGCGGCTCCCCGGCTCCGGCCGACCGGCTCGAGGGACGCACGGCGGCTGGACCCTCCACCCAGCCCCTGTCTCGTGGGGGGAGCGCGGAGCGCAGCTACCCCGGGAGGGCAGTCTGTGGCTGTCAGAACTGAAAATGGACTTCACCTGATGCAGCAGGGAAGCGTCTAGGACCTAGACTCCAGGTGTTAATTCTTCACACAGGTGCTGGGACATGCGAGACAGCGATTGTCTTGCAGCAGCCCAAGGAAACATGCCCAGCACCAGTGGGAGACGGGTAAATAGATGAAGGCCTGCCGTGCCAGGGAGCGCTGTAGTGTAGTCAGTTACGGCTGGGGCTGCCCTGGAAGTGCATCCCGCATAGTAAGTGCAAAACGCGGGGTGCATGAGTGTCGGGGGGTGCTGTTTGTGTGCAAAACGGTGTGTGTGCACACAGGTGCATGGGCACCCATGAATAAAATGTCTCTGGAAGAATATACCAGAAACCGGTGACCGTAGTCGCTGCTGGCCCGGGGGCCGGTTTGTACTGATGTGTTTGACATTTTACCAGGTATTTCTGTGCCGTGTCATTCATTCCTCCCCCCACCTCGATGACGACGGCAGAGTCAGCCTACAGTTTTGTTTTTATTTTCCCCCCCATCAAGATTCAGTGTTCTTTCAGAAGATTTGTTGTTTGTAAACAAAACATTGTGCTTATTTCCTAAGTGTCATCCATTGGCAGTGTAGAACCCCATATTTTAAAGGATAATCCAGGACTGTGAAAATGGGATATCCACGAAGATGTAAATTTAAGTAGTTTCCATTTAAAAACATTATAAATGCCCTACAGTTGGGAAATGCTTTGGGTGATTTATAGTGTGTCCATTTACTCACTAATTAAAAGTGTTTATTAGGTACTTCATGTGGGCTAGAGGGAGTAGAATGTAATGCGGTCACTGGGAGCGAAGAGTATGAAGATGACTTAAGGGGAAAGATGTTTAGAGTGTAGGGTTAAACAGAGAAAATAAGCAAGATGCAAATGAGATGACCTGATTATGACCCTGGGAGGAAAAAAACCCAGGAGAAGCACACCAAATGGTGACTTAGTACAAGGCCATAGGTTATTAATAGATTCCTCCCTTCTCCTTTTCAGAATTTTAGTGTTGTGACTATGACATGTATGTAATAAGTTATAGTAAATGTGTCTAAAATTAATATTTTAATTCTTAATTATTTTTCCAATAATTTTATTTTTAGTAAGAGGAAATTGATTAATATAGATGTCCCATGTTTAAAGTCCTGTGGAAGAAATCTGCTTTCAAACTTATCACCTAAAGAGATAACTAAATTTTTATCATCTTGATTTTAATTCTAATAATAATCTTATTCTAATAATTTTAATTCTAATAATAATAATCTAGGGCACCCCACCTATTGTGTAGGTAGGCGTTATTGTTCCTGTTTTACAGATGATGAAATTGAGCCTCAGAGAGGAACTTGGTGTTAATGAGCACCCACCAGGCTCCTGGACATTTCTGTCGTCCATGCTTTCCTCACTACATCCTGTCCTATCAAGCCTACCTCTGTCTTAACATACCCCTGATGCAGTTTACTGTTTATAAGAGAGAAATTTATTTTTCTTTTAACATTAATTCAAATATACCTTTTAACATTTTCTCATAGTTTTCATTTTTTTATGGTTGCATAATTATTTCATCGTACTGATAACATGTAGAACTTGTGATCACTTCCCTGTTCCTGGGCATTTGGGTTACTTTCAGTTTTTAATACATAAAAGGAATATTGCTGTATACTTTTGTCCTATTTTCAGTGCTTAAGACTATCCTCTAAATGTATATATAAAAATCGAGAGTTTATATGCAGAAGAAAACATTTGCTTTCTAATTCATCTGAAAACACCAGCTTATTAAATTATTGGGGATATTATTTTGTTCTAAAGGGGTGACGTAATCTGATTGTAGTGAGGACCTAAATTTATGGTGTCATAGAGACTATTGACTAATCCTGAATTAAATGTAATTACTTTGATGTATTTGTTTTTGTTCAATTAAGATAAATATATTTTTCATTTGTGTTATGTATTATGTCAAACTAACAAGTATGACGTATGTGCAACCTTTCATTCTTCCAGTGTGGACTAGATTTTTTTGCTTCTATATTCACATTAAAAAATAATGCTTTGAATTAAAAAGAAAAGTTCAACCTGCTGTAGTTAACATGTTACTTATTTTTTCAGGCATGTGGGCACATTCCATGACAGTACAGGACTATCAGGATCTTATAGACCGAGGATGGCGAAGGTAAAGCTCCTTAATACAAAGATACTTCTCTCATTACTCAAGGACTTATCATTGAAAAAAATATTGTTTGCCTTTAAAATGTTTTCCTGTCGTTGGAAAGAGGTTTAAGAAATTTTATATTCTTTTATGTAGTGATTTTGTTCTGTCTTTTTAAAGATGTTTATTAGGAAAAGTTCACACGTATACAAACATAGAGTACATTATAATGAACTATGTACCTATTGCCAAGCTTTAACAGTTAACGTTTTGCCAGTCTCGTCTCATCAGTGCTTGCTCTCTGCAAGGACTAACTGTTTGTGTCCCACCAAAATTCCTATGTTAAATCCTAACTCTCATTATGATGATATGTGGGGGGGCGGGGGGCCTTTGCGAGGTGATTAGGTTATAAAGATGGATTCCTTGGGAATGGGATTAGTGCCTTTATGAAAGAGACCCCAGAGAGCTCCGCTGCCCCTTCTCCCATGTGAAGATGGATGAAAAGAGGAACCAGAAAGTTTTTCTTCACAAGACACCAAGTCTGCTGGTACGTTGATCTTGGACTTTGTAGCCTCCAGAGCTATGAGGAATAAACTTCTGTGTTTAGAAGCCACTCAGTCCATGGCATTTGGCGATAGCAGCCCGAAAGGACTAAGATACTTCCCCACTTCTGTCCCCACAAAATAATTGAAAGCAAATTTCAGGTACCATGTCAACATACCTGTAATAAGTATATGTTTGTAAGAAAGAAGTATTCTTTTTTGCTTTATACTGTAACTTATCTACAATGCCATTATCATACTTTACAAAACTAATAATTCTTTAATGTCACCTGTTTCCTAGTTTTGATTAGATTTTCTACTTGTCTCAAAATGTCTTTTTTTAATAGTTGATTGATTTGAATCAGTATTCCATTAAAATCCAAACATTGCCTTTGATAACTAAGATTTTTTTTTTGGTAGTTATTTTTATGTAGATGATTTTAAATAACTAGGTAAAGTTCTGTACATTAATGTAAGCAGTGTTCAGTGCCCTGTGCCAGTAATCCCCAAGAAACATGGGATTGATCACACAAATGAAACTTCACAGCTTTCCTTAAACTTAATAATGAGTCTCAAAAGGTAGATACAGGTCAGATGTTGAAAGACTTTGTCTGACGTGATAAGGAACATTTCAAAGGTAGAGGGGAACCACTGAATGCTTTTATGTCAGAGAAGTGTGATGCAATTTATTTTGAAAATGATCATTACATAGCGGAGGTGGTGATCCTGGAGGCAGGAAGACTAGTTCCAGAGATTATTGCAGTTTTGGGATGTGAGATGGTGAGGACTACTGTCATCGTCAATAGCGGTAGCGTTAGGAAGGCACAGATTTAAGATACATTTTAGAAGTAGAAAGCTTTCTTACAGGGTATAGAGCTGCGTTAGTGGGAGCAGTCCAAGATGACCCCTAGGTTGCTGGCTTGGGAACTGAACTCATGTATATTTATTTGGGCTGCCATAACAAAATACCACAGATTGGGCACCTTAAACAGTGAAAATTTGTTTTTTCATGGTCCTGGAGGCTGGAAGTCCAAAGTCAGGGTGTCCACAGCTTTGGTTGCTTCTGAGGCCTCTCCTTGGCTGCCTTCTGGCTCTGTCTTCACATGGTACCTTCTCTTTGCATGCACATCCCTGGTGCCTTGTGTCTCTGTGTGTGTCCAATTTCCTTATCTTGTAAGGACACCCATCAGATTGGATAAGGCTCATCTTAACACTTCATTTTAACTCAAGTCACCTCTTTAAAGGCCTTATTTCTAAATACAGTCACCTTCTGAGGTGCTAGGGATTAGGGCTTCAGCATATGAATTTGGGTGTACAAAATTCAGTCTATAATATCACGGTTCTGTTATTAACTGAGCTCCAGGAAGCATGGAAAGGATCAGATTGGTTTGCGGGTATTTTGTGCTGGTGCACATGCAACCCCCAAGCATGGATGTCATAGCAGTGGACATCAGTCCCACAGCATCCTGGGCAGTTATCTCTGATTGCCTGTGATTAGAGGATTGGTGGTAGGTCAGGCATGGAAGGGATTGCAGATGCTGATGGGAGGGTGACTGAGGTGCTTAACCTTGGGGTACACAGGTAAAGGTTTAGCAAAGGGAAAGCTGGCCTCTGGTCCTTGGCGTACCCACATGGCAAGATTATTTAGCTGCGGAAGAGTAATTAAACCTAAACTGGTGATTACACTAATGATTAAATTTTTACCCTAATTAAGTTTGTGTTCCTATACTGATTTACTTTGGTACATAGGAGAAATGTGTAAGAAATTAACAAAACTATTTTATAATTTTAGAAGCGGGAAATATGTGTACAAACCTGTCATGAATCAAACATGTTGTCCTCAGTACACAATAAGGTAAGAATTTTGATTAATAGAAAGAGGACCTATAATATGAAGATTGTGTATAATTTTTTAGTAAACGCTTGCTTTTTTTTAAAGTTAATTTTCATTCTAGGTAGACATTCTCTAAAGGAAAAAAGCAAATGAGTTACGTTTTTTCCACGTACTGATGCTATGTTCACATGCTGAACAATACCTTTTAGTAATGTTTAATTGGTTCTGTCTAAATAAGATGTGAAAAAATGCCCTCTTTATTTGGCAATCTAGTCAGTGATACCATGAAATATTGAGGAAATATTGACAAATACTCAAATTACTTGTAGATATCAAATTTTCATAGGTTTTAGCTGAGGGCTTTCCCAAGTCTGGCGTATTACTTGACACTGCTGACATTCAATGCTATAGGCCCCTGGCGGAGGAGGAGGGCTGACGTGTATTCAGAGACCAGTTTTCTTCACTGGGAAACAAATTAAAAAGTCTATTTTCCTATAAAGCGTTTGATTAATTTTCCATAATTTTGTGGGTTTATCCTCTGCCCACTTCACCCCACCCTAACATGGAAAGATTTTCCCTTCTCTTTTGATTATAAAGGCTCTCCTCCTCCTCTCCCCTCCCCTTCTTCTGGTAGTAAATCGGGAAAGTACGTTAACATTGTGACACATTTGTCTGTCTCCAGTTTCTGTGTGTGCGCGCGTGCGTGTGTGTGTGTGTACGCATACGCTAAATAAAAAAAAGCAAACACAGTTACAGCCATCACTTTTTGGCTTGTCCTCATAGCTGTCTCCCTTAGCTGCTCTTAATTTGTTTTTGGGTTGCAGACTGTTTTGAGAATTTGATGAACTTTACAGACCCTCTCTGCAACAAAACAAAACAAGGGAAGGGGCATATAGATAAAACTATATAACATTTTATATATTCATTTTAGAATGGTCACAGACTCCCGAAGTTCTACTGATTCCTGGTAAAGCATCCTTTCTCTTATCTTACTGGTCATAGGACTTGGACAATTAAGAGAAAAGATGGGTGTCTTGTTTGCTGCCACCATCTCATTTGTTTTACAAAGAATACAGTGACAGAGTAGCTGTGCTGTGTCCTCTGTTAGCTTTGGTGATTATGAAGCAGTGACATCTTCAAAGGCAGAAGTCATTTTCTTTCAGATAGCATTTTATTTTTGGATGTTGCCCAGGATTCTGTTCAAATAAGTCTGAAGTTGAGCGGCCTGAACCCTGAGCATCGCTAACCAGAAAAGGCTAATTTCAGTGGGTTTAAGAAAAAGATAAAGTATCTATAATTTATTGGATGCCTATCACATGCCAAGCGTTGTTTTAGGTAAATTGTTTTTATGAAAAGGGATTTAATTAACATTGCAAAGCAAAGTAATTATAAAATGTGAATTGTTTTTGTTTACACTATTATATATATATGTATATATATATAGATCCATATTGGCTCATCTTGCGTACTCTTGGTGATTCTGCCTTGTTTACTGCAGTAGTTATAATAAGACGCACTGTAAAGGCAAAGCGGTTACAGCCTACAGTTTAGCTTCTTTTAGGCAGACGTTAGGGGCGGCTCAGTGAGTTAAATGAGGATGAGCTCCCTGGCTATGATTTTTTTTTTTTTTTTGTAGCCAGTTTGTGCTTTATTGATGCTGTGATGCTTAGGCCTTGACCGCGTACTTACGCAGTGGGTGCAGCCGCTCCTTCCGCTGCTGCTGCTTGGTCTTCAGGTTCTCTTGGTGCTTGTTGAGCCGGCGGTGCATGGCTCGCGTTTTCTTGGGTCGAAGATCCAGGGGCTTGTACTTCTTGCCCTTGTAGAATTTCCTGAGGTTCTCTTTCTGAGTCTGGTTAATGACGGTGAGCACACGGGCAATGGATTTGCGAACAACTCGGATCTTGAAGCCGCACCACCAGTCACTTTGGTGACACGTAGCTGGGACAGCTCCATTTTCAGGTCGTCCAGCTGTTTTAGCAGATCCTCCTTCTTGCCACGAAGGTCTCACCTTCAAGCCTTAATTTTGGCCATGGCTGAACAAACCACCGGAGCCGCCTCCTGCTGGGAGAGAAAGAGGAAAGGGCCTGGCTATGATTTTTTAAGTTTTTATTTTCATCAGAATTATGTATGCTAACAATTTAAAGAATCAACTCCATAAAGCTTATTTTGTAAAATATTAATCCCCTGCTCCCCCATCCTATTTCCTGTTTACCAGTGCAGTCACTTTCAGATCTTTTAACTGACTTTTTTGGCTTTTTACCTCCCTATCCTTAAGAAACATGTTTATATAATACTTGATTTTTGTTTTGTTCCCCCATTATCTCTGGGCTTCTCTCTTTGAAAGATGAGGTTATAACTTTATTTTACTCCTAATCCCCTGTCACATTCAAGCTCCTTTTTGTTCTCATCCTCAACTTCCCATCATTGTGACCGCGTAAATACTCTTCACAGCTGAGCCATGTAGTATACTGTGATTGTTTCTTTTCTGCACAAGTTTTTGCTTTCTCTGGAGTTGACCATTATCTTTTTGTTAGCATAGTCTTCGACGTACCTATCTCCAGTTTATTTAGAAACGCTCTCCCAGTTGAGTAAATTTCCTCTTAGCGTGTTAGATGTTCTTTTGTGGAGCCTTCTGACCAGCTGTGATCTGGACAGGTGGTCCCTACACCTGACACATTGCTGTCCTCTGGGGGTCTCTTTTTACTGCCATCTTGGGGATTCTCATTGGCTCTCGAGTTGGATGCCCCGTGCCCTGTCTCCTCTGCCCTCTTTGTTGGATTATTCCCTCCTTTTAGTGAAGCACACCTAGTAGCTTCCTGAGACAAAGTGCATGGGAGGCAAACTTTTTGAGACTTTGTATGTCTGAAAATGTTTTAATTAATTACTGAAGCTTAACTTGGAAGTGTAGCTTGGAAATAATTTCCTTTAAAATTTTGAGGAGCAAACAGTGGTTTGCTCCACTGTTGTCCTATGACTGTTGAGAAGTCCAGTGGTATACTGATTGTAGTTCCATTGTCCGAAAAGTGTTCTTGCTCTTTAAGTATTTTTGTCTTCAGTGTTCTTCTATTTCATAATATGCTTGTGGAGTGTCTGTTTTCATCCATTACATGTGGACTTGAGGGGCCCTTCTTATCTGGGAGGTCCTCCCATTATATCCTTCAGTTCACGGATATTTTTTGTATTATTTGTTGATCTTCTCTATTTTTTTCTTTTCTTCTGTAATGCCTTTATTCAGATATTGGATTTTTTAGACTGGTCCTCTAATTCTTTTCGGTTTTTCATCTTTTTTTGCTGAATCTTTTTATTTTTATTTTTTAGTGTATATATTTATCGAGTAAAAACGAAATCAATGTCAGACATACAAAATTCGGTTTGGTTCAAATTTGGCTGATGTCCATTTGCAGCAGCAGAGATGAACTGCAGTGAGAAGACACAGTGATGCTGGCGTGGAGATCCTGAACAGAACAGCCTTCCATTAGTCACGAAAGCAGGCCTCACACAGCAGTGTGAGTCCGTCAGCAAAGGCGGGGGAAGCGATGTTCAATGAGCAGGGCTAAACCCAAAGGGAGCAAGCACTTGCAAGAGAGGAGAGGGCCAGAGCTTAGAAAACAACTTACAGCATGGGCTGGCTGGAGAGCAGTGTTCGTGCAGATCTGCTGGGTTCACTTGGGGAACACGGTGACCACGTTGTAGCCTTTGGGGGGCGTGACGCGCCCTCAGGCATGCTTTTCACAGTGGATTTGATCTTCCACAAAGATCTGTTTCCGGTTTGTGCACAGTAGGCACACACATAACTCAGGGTGGCAGTGACGGTCCCGCAACTTGACAACCACACCAACAATGCCGGTGCCACATTGTCATGGGCAACTTCTGGGCATTTCCAATAGATGCAGCTACTTTGGTAGCCGGAGCCTTAACACTTCTGCATCCTGAGGGCTTGTTGGAATCCCCTTTCTCCTCAAATTCCAGGATTTCTTGCAAAACTGTAAATGAAGTGGAATGTTTTGGGGGTTCATTTAACTTGTGTTTCTCCTGTAGCATCCTGTAACCTTCAGATTCCTTGTCGATGAGGAGTCCGCTTGGAGGCTGAGAATGCTCTAAGACTGCCATTTGTCCCTGGTCCCCTGGCTGCCGCCTTTGACTGCAAGGCACTGTTGAAGTTGGAGTTGTTTTCAGAGGAGCGGAGGCCAGAGGGGTTGTTGAATTGGTTTGTGATGACCATAGGGCAGAGCTGGGGGCAGGTGAGGTGGTGAAGGGCATGGCATTCCGATTGTGGGCACTTCCTATGTATTTAGCCTCTTGCTGTTCAGAGGCTAAATTCATCATGTATGGATGACGTTTTCCTTTTTCTGTCACCAGAGACCAGACTTTATGTTCAGCTCTGGCTCCTGAGAGTCCTGTTGTCTGTACAGCCCTTGATTTTGTTCTGAGCTTTCAGTGTGTCATATTGCTGGTATTTTCCCCATCAATGGCTGTGATTACATCTCCAATACATAAATTAGCAATAGCAGCCCTGCTTCCGGGAGTGACCGGGAAGTGGCAGGAGGCTGCTCGGAGTCCTCGCCCCCCACGAGGTGAAGCCCCAGGGCACCGGCCCCTGGAGCACTATTTGTTGGGTGGTTATGGTGTGGACATGGCGAGCGGTGACCTGTGGGAATGGACGCGACAGGACGCTGCATGCTGGGCTCCCGGGAAGCTGTAGGAGAAAGAGCCTCTTTTTGCTGAATCTTTTAGATTTCCTTATCTTTATTTTCCAAGTCTTCTATTTCATTTTTGATTTCTTCTGTTTTTACTTGCGAGAGGGTTTTTTTGTGCTTGGACTCTTTCCTTTTTTTTTTTTGTTTTTTTGTTTGTAACTTGCTACTGTTTGGCTATAATAGCTTAAGAGAAATGAGAGCACTCTCCGAGGAGATGCGCGCGCGCGCGCGCGCTTGTGTGTGTGTGTGTGTGTGTGTGTGTGTGTGTACGTACATGTATGTATTTTAGGTCCCCTTGTTCCTGCATATTCCGTGTCCATCCTTCGAGTTGCTTTCTCCGGGTTTTTTTGGCACCTGCCTTTGTAGTAGGCCCTCCTCAAGTGTCTGGTGATTCCGACTTGCCAGTGTCCCATTGGAAACCCTGAGTGCTTGAGCGGCTCTTGTTTACTGTGGGCTTTGTGTGCGGCTGGGCTGTTCTGTTGGGGAATCCCTGGTGTTGGTATTTTTAGGTCTGATCACATTCTGGAGAGAAGACATCTGCTGGTGTTCCGGGCTGGGTTGGGGAAGTGGGTTTGAGGCCTCAACATTCAGTACATAGACTTTATTTAAGCTTCCTGTTTCCGGTATAGTTTCATTGCTTTCAACTGTGCTTATATTCCTCATGTAAGAGGCTCTATTTTCTACTCTTTCCTAAAAGTTTGTAGTTTTCTGCTGGGTTACGTGGGGTGTTGTGTATGCAGAGTGGGGGAGGGCATTTAACATCTAACTGCTTCCAAAACAGATTTTCAAGGCATCTTCCTATTTTTAGACCCATCTTCTTGTGTATCACTCAGGTATTGCCAGTCCCTAAGACCTTTAGGGGTAATGGAGAAGATTGGGTATCTTTTGGCTTTTCTCACCAATTTTCTTTGGTCGCTGTCAGTTACCACTTTTACATCTGCTTTCCAGCTTCCAACATTTTTTCCATTCGCTTTTTCCTAGTGCTTTATGTCTTCTCTTTTCTAATCTTTTAACTAGTTTTAGTGAGAGTTTGGGTGGTGTTAGAGGCTACATTAAGCCCTGTCTTTACCCAGAAATCCCAGGTCTGAGCTTTGCCTTATTGTACGGGATACTGTCCATAACTGATTTCATTTCTTCAAAGTGTGAGTTCACTTTTTAAATATTTATTTTGTTTTCCTAGGTGCCGATCTTTACAGTTCCAGCCATCAAAATCTCACAAGAAAGTTTTGAAAAAAATGTTGAAATTTCTGGCTAAAGGGGAAATTTCCCAAGGAAATTGTGAGGGTAAGATGAGAATCTAAAAACTCTTCACTTTAAAATGATGGATCTTTGCAATGTTCTCACTTTCGGTCATTTCTTAAGTTAGGTAGGGGCAAAGGGGTCCTTACTACAATCATGTCCTATTACTATGGTGAGGACGATGAGGAGGACGATTGTTAGGACTGCCGTTTTTGTTATCACTGGCCCTAAATTAAGGATATGGGGAATATATGCAGGGAGAGTTTAGTTTGGGAAGAAGATTGAGGATTATTTTAAAGATGTTATGATGTCCTGGAGTTTATTGAAATTTTAATAATAATAAGAGTTGCTTTGACAACTCTTATCTTACCTGATCCTAATAATGTCCTTATGAAGTTCTAGAAAGTGGTATTATCTCTGGAGCAGATGCTCACATGCAGCTTATACCTGATGGCACAGTCACTTTTACTGCTGAGTAAAGCTCAGAGTTTCTGTGTTTGAGTAAGTAAGGCTTACTTTAGTCAATTATATTGCCTGAAATTCTGTTTCTTACTTGTCTGATAAACTTTGAATTGTGAGTGAATTTCCTAAAAGAATTTCCTAAACTAATGTTTAATTAACCTTGGTTACAGATATACATCATCGCATTTGCAGTTTATTCAGTGTTGTCACTTCAATATAAAACTTTTCTTGTAGTCCGTGCTAGATACGTGCGCATATGAATTGGGAATCCCACCCATTCTTAGAGCTCTTGCTCACTTCAGCAATAGGAAATGCCTAATCCTGGGAACCTCTTACCCTAGTCTTAGTTTGTTAATTCATCCCCCAAATATGTTTTGAATAAGCACTAGAGAGACAGTGGCCAGAAAGACAGCTAAGTTCTTCGCCCTCATGCGCAGTCCTTAACAGACCAGGATTTAGGACAGCTTGGGGCAGAGTTGGCAGAGCTGGGGCAGCAGAGAGGCTGGAAGGCTCAAGGTCATTGAGGTTCAGGGGCTGCTGGGGCACTGGGGACGTCAGAATTCTGCTGCAGCTGATTAGCACTGACAGCACAAAATCTTAAAGGTTAATAAGTAGATTTTGTTAGTTAATCTAACCAACAGTGTTTGGGAATCATGTTCTGAGTTTCAAAAATTAATATTCAGATAAGCTTTGAGGATGCTGTTGATTTGTAAATTGGTGGTTGCTTGCCTTTTCATGTAGCTTTTATGTTGGTTCTCTATTTAACTTGTTATAGTCTTCTGAATTATTTATGCCTGCAACTTAATTCATAGGAGTGATATACTTACTCATTAGGGCGAAGGCCAAACGGCCTGTGGCTGTGCTCCCCCCAGCCATTCTGGGTTCTCTTCAACATGTGATTTCCAAGGTCTCTCTGGTTTTCCTAATTTAGCCAGTGGGGAGGAGAAAGGGTAAAAGTTCAAGGTCACAAATTTCCTTTAAAACAAGTAAGGCAAAATTGGACGTATCAGTGTGCTTATATTCCTTGCAAAGGGCCAGGCAGTGCATGGTATTGCTTTGGTGCCAGCCTTAACCGCAGCGCTGTTACTATGGAAGGTGGGAGAATAGATTTGGTAGACACAAAATAGTTTCTGTGACATTGGATTAAAAGGGCATTTTTTAAATTGTGTCAGATGGTCTGGCTGACGGATTTTGATTTTTTTCTGATTTGTAGATGAACCTATGGAGCCCACCATGGAGGACGCTGTTGCTGGTGATGCATTAATAAATAAATTGGATGTACAGTGTGACCTTAAAACGTTCAAAGAGAGCTTAGAGAGTGAAGAGAAGAATGAAGGAAAAAGCGCAAAGAAAGCAGAATCTAATGAATTAATTCGGTCACAGGATACAGAGGAGAAGTTGGGCTCTGGTGAACCATCACATTCAATTGAAGTGCACACAGTTCCCAAGCCAGGTAGTGAAAGTTGGTTATCGGGCCATGTTAAAGTCACAGAAAATGATTGTGTTTGGGATGTTACCCCAGGGCCCTCTCATCAGCTGAAAAAGTGAATTACTCATGAAATCTGTAAAATGGATCCTTGTTTTATACAGCTTATTATTACCTGGATTTAGATGGACAAATTACATCCTTTTTTAGGACTGTAATTTTACAAAGCCTGGAATAATGACCTTGTTATCCCCAAATACAGACATTTTAAGAGTTCCATTTCTTACTATCTTAGGGCCCTAGAGGTTTGAGAACCAAATTTTTGTCAGTGAAAAAATGTGCTAAACATTTTTATTTTTGGTGAGACAAAGTAAATTTTAGATATTATGTCCAAAATAGGCGTTATAAAATTTCTCAGGTTTTCATGAGATTTTTTAAATGTAATCATAATAAATTTTAGTTGAGAAATTCTCAGATTTTGATGTATAGCTTCACCTTTAATGAGGGAAGATTTTTTTTTCTATATTCACTTTATAAAAAAATTAGGTTTAAAAATTGATTCAACATTAAATGGGTTTATTATATGTGTGTGTACATACTCGTGCACGTGTTTGTATATGACTATTTTAAAGTTATTTCATAAAATGTCAATTTGGATAGTTGTTATGCTTCAGCTCTTGAATTCATTCTTATATTTATTTGTACAAAATGATCCAAGGAAGAGATTTTTAGTGCTATTTTAGTTTTTCTTGTCTAAATTACGTTACACATTAAAGCACAGAAAGTTTTCTGAGCATTTTTATTGAATAGTTTCTTTTTCACGTAAGGCTTTTATGACATTTAAATTCATGTTGGTCTGAGATTTAATCCTAATAAGAATAATCCAGTAAAATATTTTGAATGGTTTAAATAATTTCTTTCAACTTTTACTATCTTCGGCGATAAGGTCAGTTCTTTTATTTTTAATTTTAAAAATTACTGATAGAGCGTGTCAACCTTAGAAAGCCATTTTAGAGAGAGACAGATGTAGACTGAGCATTATAAGGCACTTCCATGTACGCTGCCCTCATCTGAAACAATCACTGACTCAGGATGACTCTTGTTTCATCTATACGTTCCTCCCTTCCAGTATTATAGTGAAGCAAATTCCAGACATTATTCATCCTATATTTCAGAATGTATCTCTAAAAGATAACTTTAAAAGAACATATTCACAATACTATTATTACACCTAAATAAAATTTCTTAATGTTGCTGAATATCCATTGTTTAAATTTGCAATTTTTAAACATTTGTTTGCATCATCTCCCACTTTTTTATTTGCAGTTTGTTTAAGAAACTGGGTGGTTTGATCTGGGCTGTTGGTCCTACTCTCCACATTTGCCCAGTAACATCTGCTGTGCCATTTAACTGGCTATAAATTGATAGTCGATCTAGAGTCTTGATCAGATTTCTGGATTAAGTTGTTTTTTGCTTTTTGGAGGGGGATAAATCTTAATCAAATTTGGGTTCAATTTTTTTTGCTTGAGGATGGGTGAGGTTACTTCTTGAGTGGTGGGGTGTTCTTTCAGGAGGCACATAATGCCTGGAATGTTAATGTTAACAGCCATGGATTCTCTTAAATTCATTGATCCATTAGATATTCTAATTCTGTCATTCTTCATTTACTGGCTGTAATACTTCTATAAAGAGAACTGTCCCCTCATCTACTTTTTTCCCATAAGAACTCGTAGCAAAGGCAGGATAAATTCTTGTATTTTATTTTTCATTCTTCAAAATAACATCTTCTAACAGAGACCAATTTGTTTGAGGGGGTATCATTATGAACTCATGGATCTATACACATTTGCTGTGCTATAGTTCTTTGCTCCCTGGGAGCTTTTCTAAGTTGGCTTCTGACAGCTTCGGACGCAGTCGGCGTCACCTTGCTCGCTCCCTTGCTACCTGGTATGACAGGAAGCTCCTGGATCAGCTTGTACAGCCATTTCTCCAAGGAGTCCTGGTTGCTTTTAGTGGGAAATGGTATTTGGAGATCACAAGCTAGACTAGAGGCTGTTCTTGCTCCTGGCTCACGTGAGTTTCTCTGCCTTTTCAGTGACCAGACTTAACGGACCATGAGGCCATATTGATATTTGCAGTTTAAATTCAGGGCTATACTATTTTTACCTTTTGTTGTTGTTGGTTTCTACTTACAAAGGCAGAGAAGTGGGTGAATATTTTTTTCTCAGGAGATTTTCAACAATAAGAGCTGCCTGAAAAGTTCTGTGCCTACTTACTTTCTTTGGCATTTCCTGCTTCTGTGGTAGAATTTTAAGGTCAACTTAGAGCTCCACACCAGGAGCCTCTGAAACTTCTACCCCAAAGCTACCCTAACAGTTGCAATTCTTTGGACTTATCCTGTAGAATCTTTGAGACTTTTGAAAGAAACACTTCTCGAGCCAAATGTGACTGGCCTAATGTTTTGCATGTCTTTTTAGGCAAAGGGGCAGATTTGAGTAAGCCTCCATGTCGAAAGGCGAAGGAAATCCGGAAAGAAAGGAAGAGGCTGAAGCTCATGCAGCAGAACCCAGCTGGGGAATTTGAGGGCCTCCAGGCTCATCGTGAGCCTCTGTCCCCACCAAAGGCTGCTAAGTCCAACCAGCCCAAATCACTTGAGGATTTAATTTTTGAATCTTTACCAGAGAACACATCACACAAATTAGAGGTACTTTAGAAAATATATATATATTTTTGTTTGTTTTTTGTTGAGTACTGTGTATATTTTCAGTTGTGGTTATACTAATCCGTTGATGTGTTGCTGTTTAAATAATGGGAAGTTAAAATGAGCTGGATTGGAATAGCATTTGTGTTTATTTACTATCAGCTGCTACTTGAGAGAAACTTTTTTTAAGATTAAAAAAATAGGCAGTTTGACTAAAGTTACCAAAACAATTCCAGCTTTAGCTGGTATAGTGTGTAAGGTACTGTGGCTTTTTGTATCCCTTGATTGAAATTTAGTGGTTAAAATGGAAAAAAAAAAAACTATTTAAATTTCATTTTTGACGCTTTTTGTTTAGATAGTGAAAAGATAGGTCACAGTTTTATCTTTTCTAATATTCTGATCTTGATCAAAGCAACAGACAATATTACATATGCAAGCCAGCAGTTAGGAATTAACTAAACAGCACTAAATTGTCCTCCTATAAACTTCTCTCATTAATTTCCCCAAACCAATTAGGCATAATAGGATGCTTTTAAAGTGGTCCTAGGATTTTTCCCAAATTGATTTACATTCCAGATTAAGCTTAGATTTTTTTTAGTTTTCAGTTCATATTTAAAAATTTTTTTCTAAAACATTAGCCCTAGTGATTTTATCATATTCTCATACCTGATTAGTAATTGGTCAGCCTTTGAATTTACAGCTTGATATAACCTAAGAACATCACTTATCACTAAAGACTTGATATTAAAAATTAACTTTGACATAGTCTAAACCTTAGGACAACGTATATTATCAGACATAAGTTTTAACAACTTTGACTATTATAATTCCTTGGCTACTCTGATTTTGGTACTTACTTTCTCCTTCCAAAATTGTAAAGAGAATTAACACGCTACTTACAATATTTTGTGAGGAGTCCTTTTATCTTTTGATCATAAATAGTAATGTATTCAGGGCACCAGGCACACCTAATGTAACAATTCTAGGTGGGCAGCTTTTACTTTTTTAATGTAATGATACCCAGGATGGATAGAGGTTTGTTGTCCACTGGGTGTCACTCTTTCTTCACAGAAGAATTACTTCTCAAGGCAAACACACACAGAGTTTCCAATTTTGTGTGTTTATTCCATTTGATTTTCTGTTTTATTATTGTTTTGTTAACACATTTTAATTGGTTAGTAAATAATTAATTTTAAAATAAATGTTAGCCGTTGTGTGCAGTTACTGTTTTTAACTCATCCTCATTTCACATATGAGTAAACTGAGGCAGAGAGGGTTAATTTATATACTTGACCAAGATGGCGACATTAAGATGTGAGTGAAGGAAATCTGACTTTAGAGTCTTCATTCTTAACCATGCTATGAATTAGGAACACTTTGTTTTCTTTTACACTTAAAAAAAAAGTTGTAGGTTTAGCATTAGCAATAATGCATGAAAGAGGGTCCAAAACATAGATTCACATTTTTAGCCTTTCTGACTGATTTATTGAAGGTGAGTTGCACACAACTAAGATTAAAGAGTATGTAATTTGTGTTTGTATCTTGAGTGCCAGAAGTGTTCTGTCATTTTACAATAGAGGCAGGCTCATATAATTCTGTCATTGAATCTAACTAGGCTTAGAATTTAGGCAGGATCCTCTGCCTTCATAATGAGCCTGTAAGTTGGAGAAATAACTTTATTTATTAACTGGTTGATTTTAGCCTTAAAGTATTACATGTTAATGCTTTAGCGTTGTATTGAAACTTCTGGTTCTTTTTTTGGTGGGAGTTACTGTTAATGCATATTCTGTGGGATAAATAAATGAATTAATGGACATTGTTTTTTAACTCCTTCTGAAGGTGAGGGTGGTGAGATCATCTCCACCAAGTTCTCAGTTCAAAGCCACAATGCTGGAGTCGTACCAGGTCTATAAACGTTACCAGATGGTTATTCACAAGCACCCACCTGATAAGCCAACTGTAAGCCAGGTCAGCAGGCCAAGTGTAATTTTCCTGTGCAAACGGAACTTTCCCTTCCACTTGCTATCACTGTATGGATTCTTGGTTTATTTGTGGTACATTTGGTTTATATTTAATTTGCAGCCTATAGCAAAGAGATAGGTCAGTGGAGGAATGGACATTCTGAAAGTGCAGATTTTACCTAGCGCCATGTTAAGTACCCATCCTATATCATTTCAAAGTGGGAAAGTAACACATAAAGTGAATCACCTTTATTTGAAGTCACTATGTTTAGATGCATTTATCTAAAAGTGATAAATAGAGCTCTAAGTAAAAACATTTTATGAGAAAAAAGCAAAAAAAAATATTTTTTTTGTTAGACATACTTTGCACAATGTGGTTAAATACGTTTAATCCGCATTTTAAAGTCATGTAGAAAGGCTTCATAACAGCCAACTTACTCTGTTGCTGTACCGCGCATACACAGCTGGGTGGAACTAGAGAGAGTAGGCAGTAGGATGCTTTAACAGAAGTCCTCATTTGCTATAACTTTATAAGTCAAACCACCCAGGGAACATCTGGAAGGGGAAAAAACTTAAAACACTTTGACGGTGGTGGCGACAAAAGCAGTGGACATCACCATTAGCAACAATACTGACTGGGTCTGCAGAAACCCATAATAGGTGGGGAGAGAGAAGCCAAGGTAAAAGAAAAAGAAATTGTCTTGGCCCTTGTGGGTCACGATTTTCGTAAGTATTACTATAAAGTTAGTGCCTCAGGCTCTGTGCCAGTGTGCCCGTTCAGGGTTTAGTCATTTCACGAAAAATTCCAGTGCTGAGCTTTGGAAGTGGATTTGCGAAGATCTTCCTCTAGCCTCACCTTCAGAAGCAGATCATCAGGTAGAGGTGTTTCAATAGCATTTGCTTGTATTTCCCTTGCTCTGAAGGTGAGGTTAGTACCTGTCTCCTTTGAGGACCCAGAGTTCAAGTCGTCCTTCAGCCAGTCATTTTCTTTATATGTCAAGTATCAAATGGCCATACACCAGGATCCGCCTGATGAATGTGGGAAGACTGAGGTACCTTTCGTTCATCGTTTTTTCCTATGTTGATGAGGTTGTCTGTCAAGAAGCAAAGTAGAGCTTTCTTAATGCCATTTTTTTATACGTTAAGTGGAGTGTATATTGCTCTCTGCTTTCAGTGTATATTACTGAGTATATGTGAGAATGAGTCATACATGTGAGCCTTTTAAATCCACAGAAACAAGGCTGTGTTCTTGTTCGGGGATCTTCCCAGAAGCCTGAACGTTGTGTGTTGATGTGTGAAGTCACTGGGCTGAGTCAGCAGATGGCACTGAGTGCTCCTCACGGGTCAGCCTTCGTGCGAGCACATGGGGAGGAGTCTCTCTTCAAGGGATTGATCATCAAATGGGAGAGACAGACAGACAAACATATTTTAAGAAGCGAGAGAGAAGGAATTAAATATATTGAGATTATACAGAACATCATTTGACAAGCATTTATCGAGGGACTATTGTTTTTAGGCTGGAGATGTTTAGAACAATGAGGTTGCATAGTTGTCACAGTGGGACAGGGATGCGTTAGAAGAAAGATACCCACAGATGCAGACAAATTAAAGTTTTGATTTATTTTTATTTTAAAAAAATTTTTTTTTAGCTGAGCCATTCTGCTACCTGTTGGCAGCTCAGCAGCTGCTCAGCTCGGGCTGGACTCGAACCGCTGTTGCTCAGAGCAAAGTTTTGATTTTTTACGTTTCTTTTTTTTTTAAGAATGTGGTAGCTTAAAAGAGGTGATGAATAAGGCAGGAGGTAGTGCTGCGTATTTCCTAAGAGAGGGCTGATTTCCAGTCTCCCTAACCTTGCTAGTTAAAGAGAGGTGTACAGACCAGAAGCATCCGAATGCTGACTCGCAGGCCCCACCTCAGACCTCCTGAACCTGAACCTGCATTTTGAACTTGGTCTCCAGGCGATTTACATGCTTGGAGAAGCGCTTCCCCAAGTGCCCCGTTGAGACATGCAGCTGTGGGTGACGCCTTAACAGTGACAGGATTCTGCCAGGGCCAGAGGCCCCCTTAGCTATTCTCAGGGCTCTTCTTCCTGCTACCCTGGAGGTTCTGGCTCTGTGCCTGCTTGCTTACCAGGTACGGATAGTTGGGCCAAAACACACTGACATGACCTGGTATATTTACTGGGTGAAGTAAAGATCACTTTTCCAGGACTTCCCCCTTAGGCATCAGGCGTCTGTGGAGGCCATTGCTGCAGCCTCAGTTCATTGCTAAAGGTGCTCACAGTGTAATTGGGAGACAGACAGGTGAGCAAGGCCAGTGCATTGCAGAAAGCCAGCTGAGTGTGGGACTGGAGGGGAGGGAGGTTTTCTGAAGGAGATGACCTCTGAGCCAAGTCCAAAAAGTTGAGTGAGTGTTTGGCAGGCCAAAAGGGAAAAGAGCTTTCTCAACAACAGGACTCTATGTTAGAAGTACAAGGTGTCACCTGTGGAACATTCTTGCTTAAGAAATTGAACCTGAATCTATAAGCTAGATATAATCAGTTCACAAACTATATAAGGGCTAAAGGAATATATTAAACTGACACCTGGGCAATTCTGTAAGACAAATGACGTCATTTCTTTAAACACATAATAAGTAAACACTTTAAGATAATAAGTAAACACTTTAAGAAAAGGGAAATCTCTAAATTAAAAATTAAAAACTTAAAAATATATATAACTAATATGATAACGACTCTCAGCAAACTTAACAGTAATTATACATCTAATACCCAATCAAATGGTACATGTTCCATTTTCTTTAATTGTCTTAAAAATGTATTTTTACTGTTGGCTTGTTTGAATCAGGATCCATGTAAGGTCTATACACATCATATTTGGCTGACGTGCTCTTAAACACCTTTTAATGTAGGACAGATTTCCCTCTTGTTTTTGGTAACATTTTGTTTCCTTCTGTTCTTTTTGAAAATGTAAGTAACACATATGTGTTATCTGTGGGGGGTGTGTGTGTGAGAGAGATGTTTCTCCCTGTATATGGTTTTTATGCATGTACGTATACACGTATTCGTCCACAGGATCACACGCCTCACCCAACAGCTCAGGTGGAGGAGGGTCCTTATCTCAACTGTACGTTTTAAAAAGAGTGGAGTGGGTTTCACGATAACGTTGGACATTCCAAAATCCTGCCTGGTACTGAATGCCACTTTGGTGGCAGGGTTGTTTGGGAGGTTGAGTGATGAGATGTGAGGCAGAAACCAGATGAGATGCGATAGAACTTGATGAGCAGGGCACTGGTCAGGAGCAGTACCTCTGATCCTCTCAGGGGGTAATTAAATCTGGGGCTCAGTAATAGGGCATTTAAAGCCTGTGAGCTGCCCTGGCGATAGATTTCTGTGTAAGAAGGTGGTCACTGGTCCAGATGAGGTCTTTCACCTGCTATGTTTTCATCCTAGAAATGCTTCCTCTGCTTGGCAAACCACTGCTTACAGGTAGAGAGTAAACGCTGTGTGGGGCTGGCTGTCGAGAGAAACCGGTTTGGATGCACTGCTTTATTTCCCAGCTTGCAGTGTGGCATCTTCTATTGAAGGAACCTATCTTGTCATAGAGTAAAAAGGGGTGTCGCCTGGGACTAGTCCGTAGTTTTCTACATGAGTAAATAAATGGCCAGTGCTGTGGACTCAGAGGCAGAAAGGAAAGCCAGAGAAATCCTCCTCTGAAAGATGTAAGTGTTCTCCTGACATGCTGTAGGGGCTCCGTGCAGCCGCTCACTGTGGTGTGGCTTTGTTACTATAACAGGCAAAACTAATATAATTATGTTCAAGAAAATACATTTTTTGCTCTTGTAAAACATTTAAATAACAGTCAGTATACTTACTAACTTGGCGACTTGAAGCAACCATATGAGTGCATAAAATCCATTTTGACTCTCATGGTAACCATAAAATAATCATTTAAAAGCCCCCGAAAAGTAGGTTGTTTTTTGAGAGATTTGCTGAAAAGATAAATATAGATTGCTATGATATCCAAAATAGCAAGTCAGTTCTTTTTACTAACATCTTTGGAAAAGTAGCACATAATTGAAGATAGTGAGATTGTTTAGGACTTCATAAATTACTCCAGTGTGTTTCTTTCCATTACTGTTTTCAATCATGCAGGTAGATAACAAATTTTCAGAAAATAATACAATATAAATAAAATAAAACGAGAGTATTTGTGACCTACCTTTTGTATAATACAATATAAAACTAGCATTGAAGAATCTTCAATTCAGTTCATTTCAATTTTTGAAAATACCAGTAATCCCATATGATATAAACATGGGATTTTAGCTGAAATTTTATTGATGTGATATTATAGAACATATCATTATCTAATAATATTTATTAGTGTCATTGGTTCCTTAGAATAATTAAAATTGATCTCAGCTCTTTTACACTTTGAAAAACAGACTGTAGTTTCATCACACTTTCGAGACATTAACTAAATTGTTTTCCAAATTTTATTATAGACTTGAAACATAAAGTAAAACGGAAAGAACAGTACGCTGATCACTTGTATACCCATCACCTAGATTTAACAGTGGTTACTGTTTCCATGTTGGCTTTATCATTTTTGCGTGTGAATCATTTTATTTTCCATTACACATTATGACGTTTTACTCCTAAATTCTTTAGCATACATCTTTGAAAAGTAAGATGTGCTGCTTCAAAATCCAGTATCATTCTCACACATAAGAAAATTAATGATTTTAAATATCATCTAATATCTGGTCCTTATTTACATCTTCTCATTTTTAAAAAAATTAGTTTCCAGTTCAGGTTCATGTGTTATATTTAGTTATATTTTATGTATTTTTTTATTCTAGAACAGCTTCCATTTTTAATTTTTGTGATATTAACTTCTTTTTCTCAACTTTGTACTTTGAAACTTTGGAAATTTATGAACAGAAAAGTTGAAAGAATACAGTGAATACCTACAAAATGTTAACTAAGGCTCATCAGTCGTTAACTTTCTCAGATTTGCTTTATCTTTTTTTTCTTTTTTTTTTCCCGGGACCATTTGTTAGTCAGTTTTGTATAACACTTCATGGTAAATAATAACCATGCTTCTCCTAAGAAAAAGTATTCTCCTACCTAACCACAATAGTTATCACTCCTAAAATATTAACAAACTCTATTAGTTATACCAAAAATACCTTTTAAAGCTTAAAAAAAATTGATCCAGTCAAAATTTAATTTATGCATTGCATGAACTATTACGTTTATGCTGTTTTTAGATGGCTTGTTAACTTTCTTTAATCTTTTGATTTTTTTTCTTTCTTACGACCAACATCTTTTAAGAGGCCAATTGTCTTTAGACTGTCCTATATTCAGAATTTGAGTGTTTCCTAGTGATTAGATTCAGCTTAAATGTTTTTAGGTGTAGGTGATGTGTACTTAAAAAAAAACTTTTATTAAGTATAGTGTTTCATACAGAAACACACATAAGTGTTCAGATAGATGAGTTTTCATGAATTGAGCTCACTCTTGTAAACAGCTCTCAGATCAGAAAATTGACTACTACTCGTCTCTGAGAAACCCCTCTCCTCCTTTTCCAGTTGCTACTAGCACTCTCTTGACTTGTAAGACTATGGAAGTTTAGCCTGTTATACTTTAAGTACAAGTATATATGTGTCCCTTGCTTGTGGTTCCTTCACTCAGCATTATGTTAGTACAGTTCATCATCATCATTTCATGTTGCTTGGATTGTTCAGTCTCGTATAGTGGTCTACTTAAGGAACGTACCATAGTTTCTCCATTTCTACTGTTGATGGGAATTTGAGGCTACTGTGAGTAGTGCTGCATGCATACATCTTTGCATGTGTCTTTTGGTTAACATGAGCACATTTATGGTGGGTATACACCTACGACAGAATTGCTGTGGCATACAGTATGCAGATGCCCAGCTTTTGGACATTGCCAAACAGTTTTCTCGAGGTGTTGTGCCAGTTTTTTTTGTTCTGCTGTATCATGACAGGCAGCATGTAATGTCAGCTTGTCCATTATTTGAGATGC